CGCCAAGTTGATTGATTGCGCCAAAAGTGCGAACTGTCAAAAATCGTCTAAAAGTGGCAACTGACGGATATCGATACTTTGGAGAAATTACATCATGCTGCTCTTACAATCGAACCTTAAGGAAATAAATCGAAATAAAATTTTAAGTGTCACTCAGGAGCGCACTTGCATGGAATTGTTCATTAAAACTCGCTGCAAATGCAAATTATTTATACCTTTCGGTCGCAGTTGAAGCTGCGCGTTTTAATTCGGATCAATTGATGGAAACGCAAAAAAACACTCTGAAAATGCTGGAGCATCTCGCTTGCACACACTGTTTTCGTCACTGTGTCTCTCTCATGAAAACAATTATTTCCTTTATAATGCGGCTGAATGTCCCATCAGGGCGCGTTTCCCATATCGACCCTTATTATTCCCAAAAAGGCCTTCTCAACCTCTTGTCTGATGTTATCGCGCGTTATTCCAGAAAATCGCCTCTCATTGTTCGCTTGATGTCCATGCTTCAACTGCTCTTTTATACGTCAGTTTCGCTTGAGCCGAGCTCTAAGAGCTCTATTCTGAGAGCGTCCAAATATGAAAATTGACGTATGCGAGTCAGTTCTATCAATCCTAAGAGTTTCGCATTTGCACCTCCATCAGGACATTTTTTGAAGATTTTGCTGAAAAAATGTCAAAAACTCTTTAGAAAGTTGATAGAACTGACTTTTGCGAAAAAATACCTGCGGAAGCTTGAACCTACATACACACCTACATTTTCCTATCAAATGCTCTACTTCAACTCCCTATCCGAAATGGTTTTCGCACTAATCCTTTTATTCCACAGGGGGTCTATCAAACATTAAATTCCAGTTAAATACTCGTACCAAATTTGTTTTGTTGGCAGAAAAAATACGAGTTGGAGGCTCAACTGCTCCAAGTAAACAAAGCGGCATGATTTATCGGGGCCCCAAAGAGGGCCCGGCAGGCAAATTTATGGGGTATTAAAATGAATTGTGACCCTAACGGGCAGCAATTTATGGGGGGGCACAGGCAAACCGGCACCAGACCAGTTCGGATCCACCAAACCCGTAAAAACCGCTTTTAAATCGCGGAAATTTAGAAATTCACTTCACAGTTGCCGCTGGATGACAATTGCCAAAGTGCGCTAACACGTCCCGAGCGCTTCACTCGAACTCAATTTGGTTTGGGAAACTTTCGCCCAGCTTCCAGCGAAAAGCATTCCAGCTTTTCCATGCCAGGGTCAATATACAAAGATGGGCAAGTTCCGTGAAAACGTTCGAGGCTTTTGCAGTGTTCAAAAATGAGATTAAGGGGCTGCCCTTTGCACTCGCATGGCTTGCATATGGAATTTCCATTGTCCAAAGATGCCCGAAAGCTATGTTTTGAGGCGCAAAGGCGTAAAGTGAGAACGTAGTAGCCGTCAGGTTTATTGCCGCGTTCATGGGTTCCTATGTGTGCGAGTGAGATAACCGATGCGAGCCTCGTTCCAGAATGTAAGTGAGTTGCAAAATTTGCGAATTTTTTGAACAAAGTACTCGAATGATCGATGAACGGCGTTAATCCAAACAGGAACTCCCATCTCATTGTTCTATTATCACATAAACAACATAAACAAATATGTTCACTGGTGATGTAACGGATCGATTAAGCGCGGAACAAATCAAGCCATTTTTGCATTTTCGACGTTGATCAATCACAAACATAACCCGAAGTGTCAAAAAAAACGTCCGATTTTAAATCGCGATTTAACTGAGAAAAACATTTGATACGGCGGAGGAAAGTGTGAAAAACGCGAGCCTAGACAGTCTAGTTATTGTTCCTGACGAATTTTTCTGAGTAACTGGCATTTAATTGGTGATTTTTCGAAAAATACTGCAGCGACTGACAACCCGTTCACGCAACATTTGGCCACACCGCAATGACAAGCATGGGGAGTTTTCTCGTTTACTTAGGGGAGAGTGGATGAATTTGTTGCAAAAAGCACCAAGAAATTAAATATGTTCTAAAATCAATGGGGTTGAATGACATTTCCAACTCCTTTCTTTAACAAAACTAATCCATATTTACAGCCAGCCGAAGTTTGCAAGTTATGAATTTTCACGCGCAGGTTTGTACTATTAGAATGTCAGGCAAAAAGCGGCAACTTTTACATTCGACTAAGTGAGAAATGGTTTTGAACTCACCAGCGCAGCAAACCTGAGACATCCATGACTGCAGTTAACTGGAATAAATGCTTCAACGTCATTTCACTACTTTCACGGAACCAACAACAACAAAAACAGCGCCAAAACTCTGGGTACTGATGATGCGAGGATTGATTAACCGCGGAACAAATCAAGTCAATTGTACGTGCGCTCGTTTGCGACATTCAACACACGCATAACCTCTAGTGTCAAAAAACCGTCCGTTTTCAAATCGCGCTTTAACTGAGAAAAACATTGAATCCGGCGGAGAAAATTGTGAAAAACGCGAGCCAAGACAGTCTAGTTAATGACCCCGATCAGTTTTTTTGGGTAACTGGCTATTAATTGTCGATTTTTCGAAAAACACTGCAGCGACTGACAACCCGTTCACGCAACATTTGGTCACACCATAATGACAAGCATGGGGAGTTTTCTCGTTTATTTAGGGGAGAGTGGATGAATTTGTTGAAAAATGCTCACGTGTACCAGGAAATTAAAAACTGTTCCAAAATCAATGGGGTTGAATGACACAAACAATTTGGTGGTTCTTCTAAATCAACCCTTGAGAAGAATGGCGTAAAATATCAATCACCCTGTACAGATCTGTACGGGAAAATAAGACTAATTCAATAGAGACGGTGGCTTTGAAAGGAACGGATGTCGACAATGCGTCGCTTTGTGCTCGGAGATTGTACGAAATGGCCTTCGTCTCGAAAAGCCCGCAATTTCCTCTTCTTTAGGGAGATTTCAAGGCATTAAGCTAACTGGGAGGGCACGTTCGTTTGATGCAGTTACATCTAGCAATTTAAACTTTACATCACGTATAATGATGATTTAGCCCCGGCTTAAAGGCAAGCTAATGGCGCAGATGTGCCGAAAATGTTAAGGATTAATGTGCCAGTGTTATGCCTCAGCTCAGCGCAAGAAAGCTGGCGTAGAATTAGAGGCATTTTTCGTGTTTTTCCTGTTGCAGCAATTTGTGCTGAATCAGTTCCAAGAAGACTACATGGCGACGGACCGAAAGTACACCTACTACCCGACAGTCATCACCAATGAGCGATGGTACAAGGTGAAGATCTCCGACCTACCAGTGATACCGTATTTTCCTGTTAACTCCTTTTACGAATGGGCCAACTACAGGTAAACTGCTCAATTTGCGCAACCGAACATGTCCGATCAGTGCCATCCTTCTCAGATACTACGGCTTGCGAAGCGCGACCGCCTACATTCTAGTATTCGACCTGAGCAATATCGACACCTTCCAATACATAAAAACGTTAAGGGAACAAATCTGCGAGAGTCGCAACATGCAAAATGTGCCCGTTCTGGTGGTGGGCAACAAGGAGGACCTGATCGTGTCTGAGGATGTGCCGAGCAATTCGAAACCGGCCATCAGCAGTTCGAGCGACGAGAAGCGCAGAGACATTGTCAATCTGGTGAAAAAACACTGGAAATGCGGGTATATGGAGTGCAGCGCCAAATACAATTGGCGCGTGATGCATGTGTTCAAAGAACTGATGAACATGATCGAAACAGTCTCGAATCGGGACCAGAGCCCCATGTTGGACAACATCCAGGAGGCGCTCGATCGGAACAAGTGCGTTGTTATCTAGGGGTTGTGCGCTTTTCACAGGTTAGGTTTAGGGGGCGGGATTTAAATGTTGTCTACTCAGTTCTCATGTGTAGGTACTGTTTGGTAGCTGTATTGGTTTTCAGGCTGTGGCACTACTACGTTATAATCATTATTCATATTCGCTACAAGCAAATAAAGTGTAATTCTAAAGGCTCTAGATATAATGACAATCTATTTTAACGCAATACCATTTATACGGAAAATTGTAAAATGTTCTCTGTAAAGCGTAATATACGTAATTGTTTGGTTGTGAATTTAGGCTCTAACCCGATGGTTTGGGCGATAAGGTTGCCAATGACTGTAGCTTTAATGAGTTGAAATAAAAACCCTAAAGCCACCTTCTTTTATATGAGTATCACTCCTTAACGACTCGTCCCGTTCAATGAACAGAAACAATCAACATAGAGCTTTTGACTGTTGACTGATAAATATGTTGACATAATGGCGAATGCACATACACACTTAGAGTTCTGCTTGGAATGGCGAAAGTGCGTTTGAATACAGGTCCTAATTACTATTCGAATTGTTTCAACCGACCTACGCGAGAGCTCGTGATCCACGACGATCCGATAAATTTTCATTTCTATTTATTTTGAATCCAAAAAATTACTGATTAAAATTCAGTCACTTAGAAAACAGTAATTAAATTTCATTCACAGAAAAATTACTAATTAAAGTTCAAAGAACTCAATCTGTAACATTTGTTGTGTATTTAGGGCTCTTGTTGCCATATCTGCCATGCCTCTCGCTCTCAAACATTTGGGAAGAAGTAGAAGACCAAGAGCAACAACACCTAATACTGCCTTCCCTTTTACGAGATGGAAACATGCACACTGCATGGTGTGAAAGCAGCGTTGCCCAACTTTACAAAAATTAATTCCGTTTCCGCCAATGCTGAGCTTGAGTGTTATATCGATAAATAACGAAAAATCTGGTTTGATGTAAAAAGCTGGCGCAACATGTTCTAGAAAATTTACCCCAAACCATCGCCAACCGCATGCGACTCATCGTCCACTAGAACCGAAAACAGAGGGTGGGAAATGGGGGAATCAATAGCGGCAAGCTGGCAACATTGAACGCATACGCATTTATGTGGACACAGAGCATCGGAACTAGGTTAATCTACTTTCTCCAAGCGGTAAGGAAAGTGTGAGCGCGGAGTGCGAGACTTGACGGTGTGCAGTTCACAACGAATTTGTGTTAATTCATTCAATCTTTTGACGATGGCTTCAAAACCAGGTAAGCCCGATAGCATTCAAAAAAATTAAACCGAAATTTTCAAAATTCGTATCAACCACATGTCACTGTCAACCTAGTTATTGGCCAAGTTGTGAAATGAGTGCCCCAAAAAATTTAAGTAAAGTTGGCTCCTTGTTTAAAGGTGTGCTGACCAGGGATGTGCTGCAGAAATTCAAAAAGACGTTTCTGGCCGACGAGAAAAACCTCCTGGCCCAAAACGTGTGCACCAACAAAGACCCTTTCGAGCTGGCCCTCAGTCGGAAGGTGGTCGAAGAGACCCAGCATGTTTTCAACACAAAGGTGTGAAAAGTGGCTGAGCACGTGCAACTTGAATAAAGCAACTACTCTCGTTTTTAGATTGAATTAGAGGGCAAACCCCTAACAAACCAAAAAAGTTCCGGACGCTGTTGGCTGTTTGCGGCTTTAAACGTGATCAGGCTGCCCGTTATGAAGCATTTCAACATCGAAGACTTCGAGTTTTCCCAGGGATATTTGTTCTACTGGGACAAAATCGAGCGATGCAACTTCTTCTTAAACAACATTGTGCAGACTGCGAAAGCCAACGAGGCTGTAGATAGCCGACTGGTGTCCTTTTTACTCTATGTAAGTGCCTGGTGAGTGAGGTCAGAAGAGGCCTTGCATTGCTGTTCTATGCTTTTCCAGGATCCAACCTGCGATGGAGGCCAGTGGGACATGATAGTCAACCTTATCAATAAGCATGGTTTAATGCCAAAGAAAAACTTCCCTGAATCGTACAGCTGCGAAGCCAGCGCTAGAATGAACCAAGTGCTCAAGAGCAAAGTGAGTGTGACCTTTTTTATTTGCCAAATCTCTCCGCATACAATGAACCATTCTACCGGCTAAATTTAAATGTTGGCACTTTGGAAAGTTGCTGGATCATCATCACTTAATTTAGATAGCGCTGTTATTTGGACGAGGTTTCAGTGCCATGCAAATAACTTCTGATTTTTGCGGACGTGTTAGTTTGCCCAAAATGAGCCTTTTTCCAACTTCCAATCGATAACAAGACACAACTCGGGACATTTTCAATCAAATCGCCAGCCAATAAATCCTTCGCAATTGCCTGCTTTTATACACTTGAAACCGGTTGCAAGTACCTGACAAACAACACGTTGAGCTCATTAGAGGTTCATATTAAAACAATGTAATCCGCAGTAGATTATGGCAATTGTTTATCAAAGCTGGCAGATAAACGTTGTTGCTAAATGAAAAAATCCACTTGGGGAACAACTAAAGCCAACTGCAGGAATAATTAAATAAACTCGTTACCTTGAAACGGCAAATGGCATCGATCACTCGCAACAATATGCATTATGCACACTCATCCATAAACAATTCAATTGCAACACCTACTAACCAGCATCGATTCTGCTTGCAGTTACGTGAATATGCCAAAGCTATAAGGGACCTGATTCAACAAGGAGCCAGCGATGGAGAGGTGGAGAGCCTCCGAGAGAAACAAATGGCCAGTATCTACAGAATCGTCGGAATCTGCTTAGGTCTGTAACAACCTGCCAGCTTTTTGCGCAAAGACTCAAGGAAGGTTTATCTCTATCTTGCAGGTATTCCCAATGACACCTTCACGTGGAACTACTACGACAAGAATAAGGCTTTTCACAGTATAGGTCCTTTGACTCCAAAGGAGTTCTACGAGGTACATGTGAAGCCGCTGTTCAACGTAGACGATAAGGTGAGTGGTGAACTTCTACGCCTGCTGAACCCAAACTAACAAGCTCCCGATTGGTAACAGGTGTGCCTGGTGACCGACCCTCGTGAAACCAATAGTTACGGCAAAGCGTACACAGTGCACTGCTTAGGCAACATGGTAGGCGGCAGGCGATGCATCTACAACAATCAACCGGTGGAATTGTTGCTGGATCTAACCGCGCAAAGCATCAAGGAGGGCGAAGCCGTGTGGTTTGGTTGCGAGGTCAGCAAGAGAATCGCTGGCAAGCTGGGCATCCAAGACTTGAACATGTAAGCCATTCTTTGAAAGGCACTGGCCTGTAAACTGTTCCTATTTGTTGCCCGCAGACACAACTTTCCGCTAATCTTCGGCGAAGACATTCACATCACCATGAGCAAAGGGGACCGTTTGCTCTATGGTGAAAGTGCCATGACTCATGCCATGGTGTTCACAGCAGTCCATACCGATGTAAGTGGTTTGGTTGGAGCGGTTTGAGGGCGATTTTTTGCAAGAGTTCTGTTGCAGGAGAACGGCAAGGTGGAGAAATTGCGCGTGGAAAACTCATGGGGGGAAGAACGCGGCGAAAAGGGATACCTGCTAATGACCGCCGATTGGTTCAAAGAATTCACCTTTGAAGTGGTGGTGGACAAGAAGTTTGTTTCCAAAGAGGTGCTAGACGTTTTCGAGCAGGAACCCATTGTGTTGCCTGCTTGGGACCCAATGGGAACTTTGGCTTCTTAGTTTTTTCGCTCAAAAAGACCTTCAAACTGCATTGATATTACCAGTAAAGTGCGTTTTATGTTGAGGCATCTCGAATGTATGTTTGTCGTTTAATCGAGCTCACATAGCAACCTTACTCAAGGCTTGCTTAATGTGCAGCTTCGTCTATTTTATATATATATATATGTTTAGTTACCATTCAACCAATTCTACGTTGCTTGCCATAATGGGATTAAAGTAAATTTGATCTGGATTGTGTGAAAACAACCTTATTTTATATTGATTCAGGTTTGACTGTGTTGACTCGTCGTTGCACTTTTGTGTGCTCAAAATCATATATCTTATGTACATTGTATTGACTACATATTTTATATCCCAAAAACGTTTTTCTATTGCCCCATACAAACCAGTCCATTTTTTCATTTACTATTTATTAAACGGTACAAATAATACACCCAATATGGAACGTTCCTCAACAATAATTAGACCACGACTATAAGATGCAGGAAAGTTATGTACAATGCAATATACACGCACGTTTCATCTTCGAGACTACATGTTCCTGAAAAATAACGATTTTCCACCGATTTAAGTCTGAAAAATTCTGTCATTCTGCTAACAAGAGCTTTGGCTAGTAGTTGACTAACTGCTGGCTTATTTTTTATGAACATGTTTTTATTCACCACTGAACATCAATATTTCGTAAAATCCGGTTTTCATCGGCAAATTGTCAGCATTTGCAAATACATATTTTTAGCATTCAAATTCAACCGATGTTTTGCCTCGAATTCGTTTATAATCCTATTGGATTTTTGAGTAAATCAATAATAAAAAATTACATACAATTTGGAGGCTGCCTTGGATAAAAACTTAACAATATGGCAACGCTTCCAGGCAAAAAACAGTAATCCCCAAATTCGACTAGCACTCACCAGCAGCTAATAAGTGATACTACTCGATGTTAATCCAAACAGGAACTCCGGTCTCATTGTTCTATTATCACATAAACAACATAAACAAATCCGGAGCACTGGTGATGAACGGAGCGATTAAGCGCGGAACAAATCAAGCCATTTTTGCATTTTTGAACTCAAACATAACCTAAAGTGTCAAAAAGCCTGTCAGTTTTTAAATCGCTGAATAACTGCGAAAAACGCTGGATCCGGCGGTGAAAATTGTGTAAAACTCGAGACAAGACAGTCTTAGTGAACCCGATCAGTTTTTCTGAGTAACTGGCATTTAATTAGTGATTTTCCGAAAAACACTGCATCGACTGACAACCCGTTCACGCAACATTTGGCGTCGTTCGGAGTCGCACCAGGCCACGCAGGCGCAGTTTTGTTCTTTAAATTAGGGGAGAGTGGATGAATTTGTTGAAAAATGTTCCAAAATCAATGCGGTTGAACGACATTTCCAACTCCTTTTTTTAACAAAAATAACTCATATTTACAGCCAGTTGAAGTTTGCAAGTTTTGAATTTTCACAGGCAGGTTTGTACTATTAAAATATCGGGCAAAAAGCGACAACTTTTACATTCGACTAAGTGAGAAATGGTTTTGAACTCAGCAGCGCAGCAGACCTAGGACATGACCATGACTGCAGTTAACTGGAATAAATTCTTCAACGTCATGTCACTACTTTCACGGAACCAACAACAGAAAAAACAGCACCAAAACTCTGAGTACTGATAATGCGAGGATTGATTACTCGCGGAACAAATCAAGTCAACTGTGCGTGCGCTCGTTTGCGACACTCAACACACGCATAACCTCTAGTGTCAAAAAACGTCCGTTTTCAAATCGCGCTTTAACTGAGAAAAACATTGGATCCGGCGGAGAAAATTGTGAAAAACGCGAGCCAAGACAGTCTAGTTATTGAACCCGAGCAGTTTTTTTGGGTAACTGGCAATTAATTGGTGATTTTTCGAAAAATACTACAACGACTGACAACTCGTTCACGCAACATTTGGCTAGACCTCGGCAGGCATCACACCAGGCCACAATGACACAAGCATGCGAAGTTTTCTTGTTTATCTGGGGAACAGTGGGTGAATTTGTTGAAAAATGCCCACGTACCAGGAAATTAAAAACTGTTCTACAATCGATGGGGTTGAATGACATTGCGAACTCTTTTTTAACCAAAATAATCCAAGGTTTATGCCAGCTGAAGTTTGCCAAGTTATGAATTTTCACAGGCAGGTCTGCACTATTAAAATATCAGGCAAAAAGCGACGTTTACATTGGACTAAATGAGACAAAGTTTTGAACTCACCAACCGCAGCAAAGAGAAACCAGAGACAGATGTAGTACAATTGAATGAACGGTTTTATGTAATTTCACTACTTCCAAGTAACCAGCGACGACAAGACTCTGGGTACGTACTGATGTTGCAAAGATTGATTAACCCCGGAACAAATCAAGTCAGTTTTGCGTTCCTGTTCAACGTTCAACAAACACATAACCTAAATTCTCAAAAAACCGTCCGTTTCAAATCGCGATTAACTGAGAAAAACGCTGGATACGGCGGAGAAAATTGTGAAAAGCGCGAGCCAAGACCCGTAGTTATTGAACCCGATGAGTTTTTTTCAGTGACTAACAGACAAAAATTGCGTCTGACAGCGATTTCCCGTCATCAAACTAAACGGAACCGGAAACACACGTCACGGAGTGACGTTGAGCTGACATGTCAATCAGAGCAAAACGACAAAACATATAAAACAGTTTCATTAAGTTGCGCATTTAAGAGCAATTCGTCGTTAAACTGGTTGAAAAAATTCGACTAAACTAAGCTACGTAACTGTACTCCTCGCTAGAATGCGGAGTCCTCTCGATATACTGTTTATCTATCAAGGATTCGATGCATTTCTTAATCAGGGGCACACTGGGGGCGAAAGACACCTTTGACTGCGCGTACACCTGAAAAGCAGCGGTAAACATGGACATTTTTCGTACAGACAACATCACTCACCTCTTGGATCAGCAAATTATGCTTGAGCACCTTTCGAGACTTCATGATCCGCACAATGGCTGCCTGCAGATACATCTTGCGGTCCTCCTCAACCGAATTTATCGTCTGTTCCACTTCGTGCGGGGCCTCCTTCTGAATCGCCGCCGTTATTCGAAACTTTGTCCTCTTATTCAAATAGTCCATGTTGAGCCGAAGCACCGTTTCAGTCTCATCAATTTCCTGCAAACCGACGCGAACTCTCTCACCCTCCGGCAGGAAAATTGAACGATTCCTACCTCAGCATTTGCCAGAAGCAGCTTAGAGTCCACCAGGCTCACGGCGTGCCGTTTGAACTGTTCGGAGTTCAGCTGCAGCGTTTCTCTTATTTCTTTGCAGGATAGCTGATCGGTCTTTTCGAAGAGCAACAGAATGGCCATTTGGAACGTCTGCACCGTGACCACGTAGGGCTTTTTCAGGTAACCTAAGCGGAGGCAAAATTAGGTTTCTGTCGGGAGCGGATTAATCAACGAGGGCTACCTAGTTTCAGTTCAGCCTGGCAAAGATGGTGCAGCCAGGTCAGCTTCCTGCCATTGAATCTGTTGTGGTAGAATGTCTCAAACTGAAAAAGGTAAACAGATTAGCCACTATGAGTGATTTTTGAGATTTTTTCCAGTCAATGAGTTGCCGCAACTGAGTGAAACTTTGGACCTTTACAACATGAATCTTCTGTACAATTATGGCTTCAATGCGCTTAGGTTTGGGAGTTGTGGGTTTTTAAAGCCAGACCTGCACAGCTAGAACAACTATCCCTTAAACCAAAAGTTAACAGTAAAAATACCCGAACCCTCACCCTCTTAAAGCGGTTTACTTCACACACAAGAACTGCCCTTACCATTTGAACGCTTTTCTCCAGCTGTTGAGGCAGAGCAAAAGGCGTGACCACGGCCTGTCCCAGCGGCCATGCACCCGCCTGAAGCACGTAGATGCCGAAATTGATCCCCAACTCAATCTCCTCACTTTTGGTAAACTCCTGGAACTTGTTATTTAGATCGGCCGACACGGACATATCGGTGAACATCCGATGCAATTTGCTGGTGAATTCGTATCCGCAGGCCTGCAACAGTTGATCGGTTAAAAAACGCTCACATCGACTAGGCGTGGCTGTGCTTGCCTGCTTCAGTCGGTTTATCATCGCTTCTTCGGCGTCCATGCTTTGCGTCTGCTGATGGATCAGCCGTTTGGCCAACGATCGCGAATAGAATTTCTGGAAGATGTCTTTGTCGTCAATGTACTTGAAGATGATGATGCTTTCTGAGAGCTTCTCATCCACCTGCAATGCGAAACGCGTTGATCAACATTAACTGAACGGGGCGGGATAAACTACCTCTGTTTCTGAGATGCCTTTGCTGCTTTTCTTCAGTAGAGCATCACAGTACTTGGCCAACAGTTCCGGACTACGACAAGGTGACCGGCCCTCATTCGGTCTAAAAACGGAGATTAAGGCTACAGAGCTAGGAGCAGTGCCAAAGCAGTGAATACCTGTGATTGATGACTGAATTGCAGGCCTTATCCAGAGCGCCCATAAAGTTCTGGTCCGACTTGAAAACTTCCTTGATCAGCTCCTTGTACTTCTTGTACACTGCCAGCAAATTCTCCACGAACTGGATGTGAAGGGTGTCCCCTTGCAGATTGTGGATGGCCTGAAACAGAGGCCAGTTGTGTGGTATGTTTGGGGCCGAACACTGTGCAAACCTACAGCCAACCCCTGGTTCTTGATATGGTCGAAAACAGTATCAACCAGGACAACCAGTGCGTCGGTCACGCTTTTTAGAAGTTCGTACATGTTGGCCAAATCTTTCTTCTTCTCGTACTTGACCATGTTGGTGCATTCGCTGTATAAGAACTGCAAGTGTTCGGCCACCATGTGCTGCTCGCAGCGGCTGGTGACCTGACAAAGTACAATAATTAGGCAAAAAGTTGCCGTTGTTGCTTTACGCTGGCGCAAACCTTGGACAGCGAACTGGCGTGTAAGAAGCGCCTGGCCCTGTACAGTTCCTCGTCTATCTTCCCCTTGACTTTGTCCATGTAGAGACTGACGTTCTTCTCCTGCAGGAGCAGGGCGGCGTCGCGTTTAAAGTGCTCGCCGCTAGCGTCTAGAAACGGCCCCTCGAACAGCTCAGCATATAACTGAAGCTGTGATTTTTTCCGGTAGGCCTGAACCTGTAAAGCCCCCGGATATCAACCCGAAAAGGTGCGTTTTATCTCACAGTACCTCGACGAGGCTCAAGATGGTGCCTCTAACTGCATCCAGGTGGATGGCAGGAGGTTTCCCGGCTCTATCAAGATCAATCGCTTCCAGCAGAAGTTTGACCAGGCGATGCCCCAGCGGCCAAATCATGTTGGTTTGCCAGACTTGAAGCGCCAGCTCCCCAATCTCCATTTGGTCGGCTGCTGGAAACGAACAGCATTAAATTGGGCCTGACAGCCTTAAACTGAAGCCGTACTCGCTGAGCTGTTCGAAGACTCCCCGTTGCCGTAAATAATCTCCGCATCCGACATCTTGTGGCTCTTGATGTGCTGCTGGTTCAGGTACAGGTACAAACTATGCAGATACTGGCTGCCAACTGAGTACTGGAAAACGGAGGGATTTCATTGGGGCTTGAAGAAAGAAGAGTGGATTGACGTTGCACTCACTTGCGACCAGTAGTGGAAGTAGTTCTTAATCAAACAATGATCGCCATCCGCCTGCACTTTTTCCAATAGATGGGCGACATGGTCGATTAGGTACTGCTTGGTCTCGGCGTACAGCCGATCGGCTAAAGGCTCTGGATGGGCCACGCACAACGAATACACGTCTCTGGAACCAGCGCAAGAATCTAGAGCCGCTCGCTGGGACAACGGCAAAGACTTACGAAAACCGATCGTTCCACACAGTCCGCGGGACGTGATCCAGCGTGATTACGCCGGTGATCGTCTCCTTGATGGCGCCCCATGTCGAATTGAAATCCACCAGCCTGGGCTTCAGTGACATCGTTCCATAAACACCACAATGGGACTGCTCGACGTTCCAATGACAATGCGCTTTTGTCGCCAACTAAAAATAGGCTATTTCATCGAAAAATGGCCAATAACTTCGATTGACAAAGCATTTTCGATGGTTTATAAATAACTTGCCGTTTTTTAAGATCCCAATGTTGATCGTGTCCTTGGCGTCAGCTGGGCTGCAAAGTGGGACACAAGTACAAAAGTCGCTAGGCAAAACGGACCCTTAGACGGGCATCTTCGCTAGGGGGCAGACCAACCAACCGTTCAAATAGCACCGTTTTTTGAGAAAGTACAAAAGTGAAACTTCACTCAGCTAGTTATCGAGACGCACAAAATTGCGAAATAACCTTAATGTCCGTGACAGTATTCAAACTTCATTTGTTTTGCCAGTTTTCTTCTTGTTTTGACAATGCTGGGTCGGGTCCTTTGAAGAACCACGCCCTTTAAAAGCGGATAAAGCGGGATTTCTATTAAGCTATTACTGGCGTTTGGTAGGAAAACACGAGGTAAACAACCCTGAATCGTACATGAAAGATCCAAAAAACCCGTAAAAAGTTTGGCCAAATTAAATTTTGCATTATTTGTTTCACCCGTGAACCGACCCATTCGCGCGCTCTCTCGCTCTACTCGCGTACTTGACACTGTTGACAGAGACTTGAAAACTACTTTATAGGTTAAAATCCTGTCAATAGTAGATGTTTCCCGCGGCCCACTGCGACGAAAAGAGGACCAGCTGACGGAATTTATCAGAAAAAGACCAGTTCTTTGTTGCTAAAGCGATAACTAAATATTCCGAGTGCCAACCGATAGGATTTTTTCCGAAAATCAGTATGTCTCAAGAACTCACGGCAGGTGCCCAGGAAGACAGTGACGCGATGTCGTATTACAGAAAGGAAGCCTGTAAAGTGGTCACTTTCCGGATAGGTGAGCCCTTTGCCCAAGTGTCTTGCGATTTTTAAATGGGGTGCTTTCAGTGTACGATAGGGAGCCCGGGTCGAACGGGTACGATGTCGTCACGTTCGCCCCCGAAATGGCCCATCAAGTGTTTGGGGAGAGGTGAGGCTTTAACCGGACGGCTGGGACGGTTCTAAAGTTTGGTGTTGTTGCAGTGAATCGATTTTTGGGTACAAACAGATTGCCATCACCATCGATATGCTGCACAACTCCTGCCGGTGTTTCCTCTCTGTGATGTTCTCTGGAGCGATCCAGAGATTGTATAGTAAGCCGGACGACGTGAAAAAGGCCCTGAATCCTTGGCTGCCGGCCAATTACACCAATGACCCCAGCGAGTTTGAGCGCCTGGTGGACAGTGAGGATCACGAGAAGATGTTCGGGGAAGTGATAAGTTCCTACAGCGTCCCCTGTAAGTGGAAGTTATGAAAACACTCGAACCTGCCTAATCAGCAAGTTTCCAGCTGCAAGATTTTCCCAGCAGAACGTCCAGAGCAAAATCATAATCACCAAAACCGACACAAGCAGTGCGGAACTGCGGGACTTTCATGCCAGGTTCGAGACCTACATCGTCTGGTTTATAGACGCGGCGAATTTCATCGACCTGGAGGACGACCGGTGGCTGATCTTTTACGCGTAAGCCCGACTAGAAATCGCCCCCTACTCAATAACCCCTTGTGGCGCTTACAGATACGAAGAATTCCAACACCCCATCAGCAAGAAGACCTACAAGACCCCAATAGCTTATTGCTCAGTCTACAAATTCTTCTCATTCCCCAGCAACGTCCGAGCCCGGATCAGCCAATTTTTCGTATTGCCTTCGCACCAACGCCGGGGCATCGGCACCGCTTTGTATCGAACCGTTGTCGAAACGCTTAAGGACATGAAGGAGGTGGTAGATTTCACCGGTAAATTGGCCTTTCATTTCGCTTTGCTTGCTTTAAATGGGGCGTTATTCCAGTCGAGGAGCCGACCAGCGCGTTTCAGAGGATTCGCGACCTGGAAGATTCCCTCATCGTGCACCAGGCGCTGCAAGAGAAGAGAGTGAATTACCTCAAAGTGGAGGCGAGCGCAGTGCTCGAATTGGGCAAAGGGAAGAAGATCGGCAAAAAGCAGATGCAGCGGGTGTACGATATTTTGGGCCTCTATTACGCCGACAGGACAGGGCCGGCTTGCAGCGAGAAAATTCTCAGTTCAATCAGAAATAGAGTCACCCAGCAGAACATGGTGAGTCTTGGTTTGCTGGAGGGCGTTTTTTTGAAGAAAAAGAAGCAAGAGTGCAGGTTTTTTGGCCCTGTCACCCGCTTGAAAAATCCATAACTTCTCACCTAGCGCAAGTAGCAACTTGAAACTTCCACAGTATATAGGAAACAGCGGACTCTTAAAGCCCTGAACATTTCAATCAAATCTCCCCAATCCAGACTCGGTAAAACGTGTCTTAAGAAAAAACCCAGAAGATAGTTGGCCTAAAAATGAACGTTTTAGCGCAAAAACGCAAACAACTCCGGAATCTTAGTGAAAAAAATGTAATTCTAATCGCCCTTTTTCACTTACAGAGAGAGTTGCGACCTGGAAAACGCTTCTGCAGATTGGACGGATCCGCGACCCCAGTGCAAACCACGAAGAAGGATGAGATCGAGAACGACTTGAAGCGGTATTGCGACGACATCCAGTCATCGGCGGACCATTTAAAAGAGAAAATGCCCACACGGTCCAAACGCAAACGATAATCGGGTGCCTTCCGCGCGAAATGTGTTCTTTTGTGTAACAATCAATGTTTATTGGCCAGCGCCACGCAAGTGTCTGTCGAGTTTCTAGTTATCACGTTCTTTTACTTATCGAGCTGAATTCCATTCAGTTTTCAATTATTTTCCCTATAAATCTCTGTATTTTTTTAATCGCTTTTAACTTAGCCTAATCTACCTCAATCACTCAGCTGCAGTCCTCGGGATATTTGAGTATATTTCCATTTAAGCATACACGTCTAAACAGCCTCCAGCCACTACTGCTTGCCTTTGGTGGCTTTTTTCTTAATCAGCTTGTTCACTTTGCTCAGCTCCGTCAGCGTCCTGTTGATGTACATCATCTGCTCCTCCACGTCCTCTTTCTTGATCTTGATCGGGTGCTTCTTGGAGGTGGCCATGTGCACGTAGACGTTCCAAATTGAGCTCTTCACCTGCAATGGCAAATCCCCAATAGCGGAACCCCATCGCGGGCAACAGTTGATACCGAGTCGATTTCCCCCAACTGTTTCACTGCGTGGTTCTTGATCTGGGTGACCAGTTCTTCGGATTCCAAGGCCTTGATGTTGGCGTTCTCGAACCTGGCCTGAAGATTGGCGATCTGATTGTTCAGCCCCATTATAACGAAGTTTTTCTCCTCGATCAGCTTCATCTGAAAGTGAACCCGCTGTTGAAGACTCGCTTTTGGCTGGATTTTAACCGCAATTGCATGCATTTGTCGCTCAAGGGGGTTACCATGGAGGTCTTGGCATTCTCCAGCACCAGCATGTTCTCCTTCTGCTTGCCAGCTAAGAGCTCTTTCTCCTCCATTAGAGTCAAAAACCGAACAATTATATCGTTGATGTTGCTGAATTCCTGGTTGGCTTCTACGACGCTATCTAAAAAAGCCTGCAAAGCAAACTACCGGCGCTGTGCGGGTTTTGCCAGTTAGTCCACCTGGTAAATTGCATGGTTTTTTACGTTCGCCTCCATTGACTCAGCGATGTGCTTCATTTCGCTCAACTCTAGCTGCAGCTCTTCAATGAGCGTCTGTCTGCGTTGGGTCAACTGGGTGTCCTCCTGCAGCTTCTTCAGCGCCCTGATGCGCTTCTCGTTGTTCTCATGGCAAAACTGCTTCAGTGTCTCACTAACGTCTCAAATGCCCCGTTTACCTGGTTGAACGAGAGAAAGGAGTCGCGTAGTTCCTTCTCCTGGCGTTCCAGATTGCGCCACGCCAGATTCACTTGGACCTTCGTTAGTTTCATCCTCCTCCTGGCCGAGAGCAGCCTCTTTTCATTGCGCAGCAGCTGCAGCTGCAGCCCCGCCAGGTTTCTATAAGGCCCTGCCTCATTGGAGAGCTTGGAGGTGCTGAAGTTTCCGAATTACGCCGCGCAGTTGCAATCGCCTAAGACTTACTGTCCCATTTGGATGAACTTTTTCGACTCGCCGCTGAGCCCCAAATTCACATAGGGGTGCCTGGATGGCAGTTTCATGTCGTATTTCTCGATCGGTTGAAACGTGCGATGACCCGCATTTTCTTTGCGGTTTAGGTAGATGTTGAGAAGTTCCGAAAAAGAGGCTCCTCTAGGTAGTTCTTCCATTACTTGTCCCTGCCTCTTAACACAAAAAACCCAATTTAACCACCCTGCCCGGTTGGCGTGATCAGCGAAACATAGGAGATTTGCTACAAAAAAGTTTGGCACTTTTTGTGACAATAAGAGCGTCAACTGGTGCCAAAACCTGGAAAAATGGAAATTGATCTTTTAAATGAGTGAATGGACAGACATTGATATTAGACGCGTGTGTGTGAGTGAAAAATACCTGATCTGCCCCAAGCGGTCTACTTTTTCTCACTCAAACGTACGCGTCTGGGTGCGTAAAGGGGGCAATTCAGTATTTTCGCCATGAACTATTTGATTCAGTTTGTTTGTTTTTGTTTCGGCCATATAAAGGCAATATTTTTCAAAAATCAGCTACTTTTAGGCATGGACGTGTAACAAGTTGGAACGTAGCTGCCGTGAGGCTTCTTGGGGTGCAAGTGAAGTAACCGACGCCAAGCTGCGTTCTCGATTGGAAAATCAGTTGCTTAAAAGCAAAACTTACCAAATGTTCAGCTTTTGGGGTTAAAAGGCTGCTTGGGAGCTGCTGGAGGCTTTGGCCTCCACTGATTGTTTAACCGCTTTATCTGCCATTTCCCGAACCCGCCGATTAATGATCTCATACTCTCCTATGGCTTTCTTCACCACGAGCAGCTGTTTTTCAACGCAATCCACGTGAACTGGCTTGATTTTCTTCCTGGTGCAAATTTCCAGGTACATTCTGAGCGCCGACTCCTTGATGGACACCTAAGGAATATGTCTCAGGACTGTTGCCTTGCTCTACCTCTCAAAACTCACTGTATCGATCACAGTCTGAACGGTGTGCGCTTGAATGCGCTGATGGATTCTCTCCCATTTTGCGCTCTCATTTCGGGCCTTTTCGTACCGTTCCTGCAGCCTTTCAAGCCGGTTGTTAAAGGCGGCGATTTGGTTCAGGCTGTTGTCAGCCAAATGCCGCTGTGCGTTAAAAGAAGATGCCAGGAATTTCAACTACTGGATGGATTTATCCACGAACTCACCTGCTCTTATAAGAACCAGCTACTTTCGCCTAAATTTCTAACTATGCTCGAGTTTTTTAACAGCAAATGCATGCAATGTCAGGTGGTTCGGTCATTGAACTCTATGGAATAACTGTCATTGGTGACTAAGTGACATTTGAGTAAGGGGTTAACCCGTTGATGGACGTATCGCCGTCTCTGTCTAGTCCTCTTGACTTAGCCCCGATGCCCAGTTATTCGTAGAGGATTAACAGTTAGGGCCTTACCAAGTTGCTCTTTGCCTTCTCCAGCTTCATCATGTCGCGCTGCTGGATGTCGTTCAGCTCTTTGCGGGCCCCAATCAAGGCCTCGTATCTGCGAAATCGGGGAAAAATTTAAGAACCGAAAAAACCCCTTGAGTGAGTAAATACCGTTTGAGTAGGTCGTTGATGGACTGCATGGACGCCTCGTTCTCAACCACTTGCGAGAGGAACAGCTCGTAAATGCGGTACTGGCCGATGTTGATATCCATTTTCGCCTTGGTGCTCTCGATCTCTTCGCACTTCTGCTGCAGCTCCTCCATTCTCCTCTGGCGCTCCTCCTTCAGCTGGTTCTGTTCGGTGATTTTCAGGGAAGCGCGCTCCTTTTTCTCCTGGTTTTCTTTGACGAACTGCAAACGATCCGGCGGTTTCAAAAGGTGGGGGTTTTACGCAGGTTGCGGGCTGGAACCTGGTTGAATCTGATGAAGTTCTCCCGCAAAGCCGACTCTTTGGTTTTGAGGTCCTCCCACTGCTCCTGCACCTTCTTGCGCTTGTCATCGTAGTCCCTCCTCTTGTTCTCCAGCCTTTTGGTGGTCTTCACCAGCTTGCGCGTCGTCAGGTAGTTGGTGATTTCCACGTTTCGCTCAATGTTGTCGCCATTGTTGCAATGCCTGGAAAATTTGAGGGCTTTTGAGAAACTGTCAAACAGTCAACTGGGGGGAAACCCACGCCAGATCCCGGTTATGATCAGTGGCTTTTGACGCGAAATATTCCGCCGTGTATTCGTAGTTGGGCTTTTTGGGAAAATCCATTTTGTCGAACACCGACATGGTTTTCCTCTCCCTTAGTGCAAAATGCGTGTAAACTCACTTTGACAAGTTATGTCAATGCGGCAGTTGCCATGGAGATGGCTGCCAAGTGCGGCCCTGCTCAAGTGATTGTTGTCGGGGGTGCATGTTATCAATACTTGCTTCCTGCAGGCTTTAGGGGCTGATATGCGTGACTGTGCTTATGGGGGGCAGCGGAAAGCGCATCGGGCTGCGGCATCAATAGCTGAGGGGCTAATTATGGCAGTGCGGGCTGGAGAAGCCCGAATTTAGCTGGCAACTAATTGAGGTTATATTGTGTTGGCAATTGACACTTGGTTGGGGCAAAATGCACGCATGTGGCAAAACGCACGCTCCAACGTCGACTTTTTCATTCATCGCGACATTTCGGCGGCCATGTTTATTGGGTGTCGCATATTGAGCTGTCAAGTCGTCAGCGGCCCTTCGAGTTGAAAGTACGTGAAATCTCGCCCCCAGACAACCCCGTCGAAGACTCCGCCCGTTTAGTTCGGGTTAGTTTTAAGTTTGTTTTGTGAATCACCGGACGGAACCATGTCGCAGCCCACCCTGCTGCCCATCAAGTTCCAGGAACACTTGCAGGTAAGAAAGAGCAAATTTACAGCCCCTATAGGGTTTTCCTGCGATTTAGAGCTAGCGGGCGCCTGCTGCTGGAGATGGGCAGCGGAAAATCAATTTTCCGTTCCGGGTCAGTCGCCGGCAATCTTGACGTTTCGCAGAATTTGTTTTGAGGGGGCGGAATTGAGATGGTCTGGATGGGCGTTTGTAACTACCCAAAGAAACCTTCTCGCCAGTGGACCTGGAATTAGGTCACCTCAGCTCAGTGGGGAGCTGGCTCCACTCCCCCAACCCCCCGCTGGGGGGGTGCATTCATTTGTTTAATTTATTTAATTGCCCCCCCAATAGAGGCCATCTTGTTTATCAGTGGTTTGTTTTGTTTGACAGGTTGCTAGTTGTTTCCAGCAGAGCGTGAGTCATATGGATGTTTTGACGTTTATGTATTTTGTCAAGTTTTGAGCTTGTCGCTAATGATTACTGCTGGACTTTGATGGATATACAGGGTGTCTGTCAGTGTCTGTCGTCCATCCATTGTATCGCAATTTATGCGATTCTGGAGATTTCCAAATGGCTTCTCGCATGTTGGGTAGAAAGCGGCCTGTTCCTCGCTTAAGAATTGGGAAAGTTCCCATTGCGTCAGTTCCTGATGTATGGTTGGATGCACTGTGGTGCGCTTTTCGGTCACTTTCCCCTTGCTCTCGGCCTAGCTGATTTGCTAATTTGCGCCGGTTTAGCGAGAAAAACCTAAGCGGAAATGAAAAACAAAGAGTGTGCTGCGCACTTTGCGATCCGAAAATATCTTGAACGCCTGCCAGTAACGGCGTTGAACTTGAACCTTTGTAAATATTTACTATTGTCTATGTACAGTGCAATATACAGGGTGGCTTTTGAACAACACGGCCACTAAATCCGGCTCTTTGCTAGATTCTTCAAATTCTTCGTGCTTGTCACATAGCGAGCAGACAGCCGCATTGACAACACCGTAGAGGCCACCATCTGGACTAGATTTAATTCCTTTAATGTTTGCTTTAGCTCACCAACATTGGCATCAATGTGGCCAACATCTCCTTCGCCACCCTCACCATGGAGAGCGACAAGTTCATTTGCGTGCGCGAAAAAGTGGGGGAAACCTCCCAGGTGGTGATCGTGGACATGGCGGATTCCGCCAACCCGATCCGGCGGCCAATCACAGCCGAGAGCGCCATCATGAACCCCGCCTCGAAAGTGATCGCCCTCAAAGGTAGGAAACGCCCCCCCAGTCCAAGTTCTCGTTCAACCTGGCTTTGCCTGACTTTTGCAGGCAAGGCGGGCGTCGAGGCGCAGAAGACGCTGCAGATCTTCAACATCGAGATGAAGTCCAAAATGAAGGCGCACACCATGAATGATGACGTGATTTTCTGGAAGTGGATCAGCCCGAACACGCTGGCCTTGGTTACCGAATCCTCGGTCTTCCATTGGTCCATGGAGGGCGACTCACAGCCTGTAAAGATGTTTGACAGGTTAGTGCAGTTGAAGCTTGCCAGGCAAAATTGTAAACATCGCTTCCTTTAGACACTCGTCGCTGAATGGATGCCAGATAATCAACTACCGAACAGATCCGAAGCAAAACTGGCTGCTGTTGGTGGGAATCAGCGCTCAGCAGGCCCGAGTGGTGGGCGCCATGCAACTCTACTCCGTCGAACGGAAGGTACTCGCTCTTCAGCCCGCCCTCTAAAGGCTGTGGTTAACTAGTGTCTCTTTGCAGTGCTCCCAGCCTATCGAAGGCCACGCGGCCTCGTTCGCCACCTTCAAAATGGAGGGCAACCCCGAGCCCTCCACGCTGTTCTGCTTCGCCGTGCGCAATCTCCAAGGGGGCAAACTGCACATCATTGAGGTACCCAATCAGAGCCCGAGAAGGGGCCGCCTAATCCAGCCAGTTGCTTGCAGGTGGGGCAGAGCCCCCCGGGCAACCAGCCCTTCCCCAAGAAGACTGTCGACGTGTTCTTCCCGCCGGAGGCGCACAACGACTTCCCAGTAGCCATGCAGGTTTCGAACAAGTACGACGTCATCTATCTCATCACCAAGTACGGGTACATCCACATGTACGACATCGAGAGCGCCGTCTGCATCTACATGAACCGCATCTCCAGCGAAACCATCTTTGTCACTGCACCGCATGAGGGAACCGGCGGCATTATCGGTGGGTTTCCCTCTATACTTATACCAGACCAGGGCTCAATGTTGTGGCGCCTTCTAGGGGTGAACAGGAGAGGCCAGGTGCTGTCTGTTTCGGTGGACGAGGAGAGTATCATTCGCTACGTGAACCAGGTGCTGCATAATCCCGATTTGGCGCTGCGTCTGGCCACTCGCAACAACCTATCGGGCGCTGAAGAGCTCTTCGTCAGCAAGTTCCAGTTGCTGTTCCAGAACGGACAGTACACGGAAGCGGCCAAAGTGGCTGCTAACGCCCCTAAGGGAATCTTGCGCACGCCCGCTACCATCCAGATGTTCCAGCAAGTGCCCACTCAGGCAGGGCAGAACAGCCCGCTTTTGCAGTACTTTGGCATTCTGCTCGATCAGGGACAACTGAACAGGTGCCCGACTCGAAGGCCGTTTGCCTTGTGTCTCGTTCCAATGGCAAATGTTCCAGATACGAGTCCCTGGAACTGTGCAAGCCAGTGCTGCTGCAAGGCCGCAAACAGCTGCTGGAGAAGTGGATCAAGGAGGAGAAGCTGGAGTGCAGCGAAGAGCTGGGCGATCTGGTCAAGCAGGTGGACGCCACGTTGGCTCTTTCGGTCTACCTGAGGGCCAACGTGCCGGCCAAGGTGATCCAGAGCTTCGCCGAAACGGGGCAGTTCCAGAAAATCGTGCTCTATGCCAAGAAGGTGTCCTACACGCCCGACTACGTGTTCCTGCTGAGGCAGGTGATGCGCACCAACCCGGAGCAAGTGAGTATTCCAGATCAGACTCGTGTTTGAATTCGCTCAACCAACTCAACCGACTGGTTCTGTAGGGCGCTGCCTTTGCAAGCATGCTGGTGGCCGATGAGGAGCCCTTAGCCGACATCAATCAAATCGTCGACATTTTCATGGAGCAGAACATGGTGCAGCAATGCACCGCCTTCCTGCTCGACGCCCTCAAGAACAACAGGCCGACTGAGGGCCATTTGCAGACCAGGCTGCTTGAGATGAACCTGATGTCGGCGCCGCAAGTCGCCGACGCCATCTTAGGTGCGTCCGGCCCCAGCCAATGAAATGCCAGCCCTTAACCGACTGTTGCAGGCAACAACATGTTTACGCACTACGATCGGGCTCACATTGCTCAGCTCTGCGAGAAGGCGGGCCTACTTCAAAGGGCGCTGGAACACTACACGGATCTGTACGACATCAAGAGGGCGGTCGTGCACACCCATCTACTTCCAGCCGAGTGGTTGGTCAGTTTCTTTGGCACGCTGAGCGTTGAAGACAGTTTGGAGTGCCTCAAAGTGAGTAGGGAGGAACTTTGGCTTCACAGGGTGACAGACCAAACCAAACATGTACACAGTTGGTGAATATTAAAAAAAGATAGACTTTCGAGCCCATTCCTTGAAACTAATGGGTTTTTAGGCCGTCGTTCGGTAGAATTTCTTCTTGACGTTTCGCAAGCACGAGTGGCTTGCATCTTCAGAAGTGGTTTGCTTCCCGTTCAGTTCTGCGGAAGAACTGAACGCGGGTTCTGATGAGAACAGTGTAAGCGTTCAAGCAAACCACTTCTGAAGATGCAAGCCACTCGTGCTTGCGAAACGTCAAGAAGAAATTCGACCGAACGACGGCCTAAAAACCCATTAGTTTCAGTTGGTGAATAGCCAAATTTTGATTCGCCGGCGGCCCGCGATATTAACCAATGAGATAGAGTTTCATATCACGTGACTGACTGACAGTGACATTTGTCAAAACGAGGCCCTGCCGAGGCTCCAAATTTGAGCAGCTGGTTAATACAACGACATGTATTTTGCCCCGTTTCCAGGCCATGTTGACTGCAAACATCCGGCAAAACCTGCAGATTTGCGTGCAAATCGCCACCAAATACCACGAACAGCTCACCACCAAAGCCCTAATCGACCTGTTCGAGAGCTTCAAGAGCTACGAGGGCCTGTTCTACTTCCTGGGCTCGATCGTCAACTTCTCCCAAGACCAGGAGGTGCATTTCAAGTACATTCAAGCCGCCTGCAAAACCGGTAAGCAGCCAACTCGGCGGTCTGGGCCAGGTTTTCACCGGATGTGGCGGTTTGCAGGTCAGATCAAGGAAGTGGAGAGGATTTGCAGGGAATCCAACTGCTACAGCCCGGAGCGAGTGAAGAACTTCCTCAAGGAGGCCAAGCTAACCGACCAATTGCCGCTGATTATCGTGTGCGATCGCTTCGACTTCGTGCACGATCTGGTGCTGTACCTGTACAGAAACTCCTTGCAAAAGTGCGTGCGGACCGCGAGGGCTGTAGGGTGGTTTAAAATGTGCGCCCTCTTCCAGGTACATCGAGATATACGTCCAGAAGGTGAACCCCAGCCGGCTGCCAGTCGTAGTGGGCGGGCTTCTGGATGTGGACTGTTCGGAGGATATCATCAAGAACCTGATTCTGGTCGTTAGAGGGCAATTTTCTACTGATGAGCTGGTCGAAGAAGTGGAGAAAAGGAACAGGTGAGTGGCGTTGGGGAGCCCAACTCAGTTTAATTGTTTCGTGACGGTTGGCAGGTTGAAGTTGTTGCTGCCCTGGCTGGAGAGCCGAGTGCATGAGGGCTGCGTTGAGCCGGCCACGCACAACGCACTGGCCAAGATCTACATCGATTCGAACAACAACGCAGAGCGCTTCCTGAAGGAGAACCAATGGTGAGCGTCACAGCACTGTGTCTTAGCACTGTGCCTTTGACCCGCGCTGTTTAGGTACGACTCGCGCGTGGTTGGGCGCTACTGCGAGAAGCGCGACCCCCACTTGGCCTGCGTGGCGTACGAGCGCGGCCAATGCGATCGCGAGCTGATCGCAGTCTGCAACGAGAACTCCCTGTTCAAGAGCGAGGCGCGCTACTTGGTGCGTCGCCGCGACCCCGAGCTGTGGGCCGAAGTCCTGCAGGAGGCCAACCCGTACCGCAGACCACTTATCGACCAGGTCGTCCAGACGGCCCTTAGCGAGACGCAAGTAAGTCGCTTCCTCGGTTCCTTGATCGCCGCTTCTAATCAAGCACGGCTTGCAGGATCCTGAGGATATTTCGGTAACTGTCAAGGCGTTCATGACCGCCGATCTGCCCAACGAGCTCATCGAGCTGCTGGAGAAAATCGTGCTGGACAGTTCAGTGTTTTCCGATCACCGGAACTTGCAGAACCTGCTGATTCTTACAGGTACGCCCAAGCGAGAAACCACGACAGGAACTGGCCCAGATCGGGCCTCCTTGCAAGCGGCAAATTGGCTCATTGTGTGGCTTTTTCTAGCAATTAAGGCGGACGCGACGCGCGTCATGGACTACATCAACCGCTTAGACAACTACGACGCGCCCGACATTGCAAACATCGCCATCAACAGCCATCTCTACGAGGAGGCGTTTGCGATTTTCAAGAAGTTCGACGTCAACACCTCGGCCATCCAGGTGCTCATCGAGCAGGTCAACAATCTGGATCGCGCCTACGAGTTCGCAGGTAATCCAGTGCGTTTTTTCATCCGGCAAGTGTTTGGGGGAACGTTGTTGCGGCTTCAGAGCGGTGCAACGAGCCGGCGGTGTGGAGTCAGCTGGCCAAGGCCCAACTCAACCAAGGCCTGGTGAAGGAAGCGATCGACTCGTACATAAAGGCGGACGATCCGTCCGCCTACATGGCAGTGGTCGAGACTGCGTCCCAAAACGACGGTTGGGAGGATTTGGTGCGCTACCTGCAAATGGCCAGGAAGAAGGCCCGAGAGAGGTAAGACCGATGAGACGCCGGCGACACTTAATTCGCAGTGACCGTACGACGCCGCGTGACTGGAACGTTTCAAATGTGCTGCTTTTGTGTTGTGCCTCAGTAGCTTTAGTCAAAAGAACATCGCTAAAGGCACGCGCGCACTTGTTCGCATAGAACGAACGGAACGGCATCTTAATACTCTCTCCAGTCTGCATTTTTGTGCAAATATTACCGGGATATTTCAATGCATTTAACTATATACTTTCCTGACTGTGTTTCAATTCCAAATCAAATTCATTCCTGGGTTTCAGTCATTTATTGTCTCTATTTATCAATGAAAATACGTTTCGGTGTATTTTTCCACCATCATCAGTTTTTATGTGTAGCGTTGTTGCTGCTTTAAGCCTTGGCATGCATTTT